TTTTATCTGGGATATAAGTTAGGTGGAATGATTGCTATTTGAGCTGTAAAGCTACTGGGGATAGGGATATTACTCAAGTATAATATAAAATGAGATATAAATTAGGTAAAATCGATATAGGAAATTCGTTCTGTTAAAAAATGGGGATATAACTCAGGTTGGGATATAACCCAGTGGAGATATAACTCAGGTATGACTGTAGTAATAATAATATCCAGATCCATTGGGTTCAGGGAAACGAAGTTCCCAGCCATTCATATATGGACCAGGATATTATTCATTACAGCTGTTTTCAAAAATGTGTGAACAACGATTTCCATATACCTGTGTGGGAAATCAAAGAATTTGAAAAATCAGATTAAACTTCCCGATTAGAGCGGGTCACGAAATCTCCGGAAATTCAGGAAATTCGGGAAATATTGTGAGTTCTCAATGACATGTGATCTGCAGCCGAATCTTTTTGAAAACAGTTGTAATCCTCGTGATCTTGACATAGTGATCGAAGATATGTAACTAATTATCTATAATGATAAATGCAGTAATTATCTTATAGCAATCCTTCGCTCTAATCATAATAATAATGATTATGTTTTTTTTTACAATGTTAGAACTTTATTATCTATTTAATTGATAGAATCTTTTTTTTTTAAAAAAAAAAAAATTTATAATAAAATTCTTAATCCCAATAAAGAAAAACAAACAAATTATGAAAGAAAAGGAATTTTTGATCAATATAAAGATTATTATGAATTAGATATAAATGAAGTATCTTCAATATTATTGGACCATTATGAAAATAATTGGTATGAAGTAAATTATTTATGTCATTAGATGAAATGGAGATTCGACGACTGGAGGTTGTATATGTGTTAAGCCGATCTTCATGGAAAGGTAATTTTAGTGCACCAGTTGAAGAAATACTGAAAAATGATAAAACTAACGTTCTCGACTCTGGATACGTAATACTACAAACTCGAAGCTATTTGTTGCGAGCATCTTTAACTGGTATATCAGTCCACGCAAAGTTAACTTTTCGTTTTGCATAACCCGCCGACCCAATTTTTCAAAAAAATTTTTTTTAAAGTCACAATTGCCCAATTATTCCATTTTTGCTATTTAATTTTTTTCTATAAATTTATCCGGTATCACCCGATGGTGAACTTGATCATCTGTAATAACCCGACAGGTCTGTTAAAAAACACAATTTCCAAATTTTCTGATTCCGCGTTATGCAAATCAAAAAATTAACTTGCGTGGCCTTAAATATGAGCGTGAATCTATTAATTTATTGTTGAAAAATTTTTTTTTTTAAAAAAAAAATCCGACCCGCCAACTGGAATTTCGGAACACCATGTTATGCAAAACGAAAAATTAACTTTGTATGGCCTTAATAATTCTATATTTTATTTACTTATAAGGTGTGGGCAGGTTGTTGTGTTCTTGATTTAGGGTACGACTTCCCAAATACAACATTTATCGGTATAGGCATTCAATCAATCAAGTGGATTCTCAGTAAACGAATCCTCAAAATACAATATTTTTAGAGCATAACGTATTAAACTGAGTCCCATTTCCTGACGAAACATTTGATTATGTTTATATGTCAACGATGTGGCCGGCGCTCACTAAGCAACAA